CACGGGGACGAACGTCCCCAACACATGTGGCAGGCGCAACGCAGAAGGGAAGCTGATGGAGATGGACGTCTCCACCCCTGGGCCTAAGGCCAAGGTCCCCACAGAAAGCAGGGAGCGAGCTTTTGGGGACGAACATCCCCATCCCTTAGACCTAACAGGAAGCAGGGAGCAAGCTTTAGGGGACGAACGTCCCCACCCCTTGGACTCGGCAAGAAGCATGGAGCAAGCTTTAGGGGACAAACGTCCCTACCTGTTGGCGGGATCCCAAGATTCTGGCGGGAAGCACACATTTAATGCAGAAGATTTAGTGGTTGGGGCCAAGCCATCCACAGCTCGCCACGTCAACGCATTCAACTACCCCTTGGTAGTATATATAGTAGCATTTATTTCATTGTAAATGGTTTTCAATTTAACACTCTAGCACTATAGCAATTGTATCAGCTCATAACATACCATTGTACGAACGACATCTCGGCTCTGTAATCGTTTCAGTGAATAAACACTCATTATTGGGTCCTTTCCTTGCTTGTTTCTTCATCTAACTTGTTCACCCTTCCACTCGAGACCCTTAGAACACGTATTGGGCCCAACGGGTCGAAGGAATAAACTTCAACATAAACATAGGGCATGTTTGGTAATCGTGTTTTTCGACTAGTTAATTAATTTTTGGGAAAAGTACGGACAACCTACTTGTGGTTGCGCTCATTTGCGGAGAGGGTCGTGCGTTTCACTTTTTACTAAACTAATATTCGTAGTTTACTTTCGTTAGCGCCACATGGGGCTCGGTCCATTTCCGTTACGAAATAATGACGTGGCCCGTTAATTATCCAAAAAAGGTTGCCGCATGGGGGAAATTTTTCCACGTCAGAATCAAATTTGAATTAGATGAGTATATCAGTTAAGTGCGGTTTATAGAACACCAAACGACAAATTAGGGCGCAGTTTTGCTAGGAAGGAAGAAGAATCTCACTCAAAATTTCTTGCAGCTGCTCTTCAGGTAAGTTTAATACTCACGAAACTTACTTCACCGTTGTCGTTATACACAGATTAAAGTAGTATCTGGGTTTCGTTATTGTGTGTGGCGTCGTTAAAGTTGAGGATGAAATTAGTGTGTTGAAGATTTAGTTTTGGTTGTTTTTGTGATATTTTTGTAGAGGCTGGGAATGAACGATGAGCACGTCAACCTGTGGATTCACCATGGTGGGAAATGGGATTGTCCAATGAAGAAGAACTGGGAGGTGAGGTAAAGAAAACGGAGAATGTGGACATAGACTACCTTTGTTGGATTTCACATAACTCATTCTTACGCCACCTCCAGCCCTGTCGTTCCTCTTATTAAACCTACTGCCTAAACATATTAAATGAGTGAAGTCAATGGTTTTTAATGACCTGACCATACCACACCCCACACGGAACCAATCGGATGATAAACATCTCCAAGTCAGCCTTTATTAACGGTCAATGGGCTGAGCCCCCTGTGGCGCTAACAAAAGTAAACCACGAATATTAGTTTAGTAAAAAGTGAAATCCATGACCCTCTCCGCAAATGACCTCAACCACATGTAGGTTGTCCGTACTTTTCCCTTAATTTTTTCACTAAACATGTAACTTTGATTTCGCATGCTGAGTTGTCTAATAATCAAAATAAGTAAGGTTGAAGTTAGTTTTCTAAAGTTGTTGTAGATGATCATTTAAACTATTTTAATATAATTTGTTATTTTATTAATAAAATATATTTAAATATTGTTTTTCATAATATAGCAGAGTCAATCAATCTAACAACATTAGCCAAAACCTCATAAATTTAAGCAAAATAATGTGATCTAGTCAATTTTTCCAAACAGACACATACTAGTTCATAAATAATTTTCCTAATAATATTATAATAATACAAACGTAAAATTCGTAAACTGTGAATGTGTAACTAACAACATATTTTGTTTAACAACATACAAGTAAGGATGTTTTTACTTGGACTAAAATTTACTGATCTAGTCTCGTCTATTCAAGTCTGGTCTAGTCTCGTTTGATTTGAACTGGCCTGTCTGATCTAATCTGATCTAATCTGTTTAAGTTTGATCTGGAACTGAAAGCAGTCTAATTAAAAACATCCTAATCGTTGCGAGAATTTAGAAAAAAAGAATAACTCTGTATATCTCACTAAGTTAAGTGTTAACAAGGTACAATTAAAATAAAGTGCCCTAAATATGAATAAAACATATAGGAGTATGTCTAATGTGTTTTTCCTAAATACCCCGTATCAGTATATGTCACTAATTTGTACGGAGTATGAGTGTATGACCATTTTCCTGAATTCTAGCATTACCTATTGCTCCCTACATTACTTTATTATAAGAGAAAAGGGTCATAAAGGCCTTCTATTACTATGAAATAGTCACATAAGGTCATGTACTCAATAAAATGTCATATAAGTACCTCTACTTATATAAAGCAGTCAAATGAGTCCTAATGGTTTATTTAACACCTCCTAATCCCGATTTTAATTTACATGTCGATTTTTTTGACTTGTATTTCAACCAATCTTAGTTATATATTCGACATATGCCGTATAATGTATTCTAAAAAGATGGTCAAAAGTACGTTAAAACTGAGATTAAGAGGTGTTAAATAGGTCATTAGGATTCATTTGATTGCTTTTTACAAGTAGAGGTACTTATATGACACTTTATTGAGTACATGGTCTTATGTGACTATTTCATAATAGTAGAAGGCCTTATTTGACCCTTTTCTCTTATTATAATTATCAGTTTGTCATTTTATTTTATTTTTCCATAATAAGGAGTAATATTTGAATGATTGCAAATTCAATTTTCTTTATAAAAGTACTGCTCCTTCATGTCTCAATTTTATACTCCCTCCGGTTCCTATTAAAGTTCCCAGTTTGACTTCACACAGATTAAGAAAATAAATTTGACTTTACTGTGGAGTGCACTGTTTGGCACTGTTTGGACACTGTTTGACACTGTTTGGCACTGTTTTGCACTGTTTTGTTTCCTACAATGGAAGTGTGAACTTAAATAAGGGACATCCCTAAAAGGAAAGTAAGAACTTTAATACGAACCGGAGGGAGTACGAAGTAGGAGTGAAGTTAGTACTTGGGACACAATTGACACTTCTTGTAACTAACTAATTGGAAAGAATGAAAGATACTACTCTTTTTTAATTCAATAATTAAAAAGGAAAATGACATAGTTTTTGGGATATCCAAAAAAGGAAAGATTACAAAGTTATAAGAGAACATGTGATGTTAAAAAAATGATTTGTCAAAGAGTCATGTACTGTTAGGACACATTTTGAAAAAAAAGTGATACAAATTACTCCCCCCGTCCCATTGGACTTTGCCAACTTTCCTTTTTTGTTGTCCAAAAAAACTTTGCCACTTACCCATTAAAGCAACTAATTTGTGGTTCTGCACATTTTTCTCTCCTCTTCACAAATCTCAACCACACAGTTTTTTCTATTCTTATTCTTCACCTACTTTTCACTTGACAAAACATACATTTGACTTGGGAAGAAATTAAAAGAGAGTGAGTGTACAAAATACTGTAGATGTGGTTGGTCTCTGAGTTTTCAAGGAGAAAGGGCAGAAATAGGATCCCTTGTAGGAGAAGCAAAGATGAACAGTTTGATTTACTGGGGAGGAAATTCTTGGAAGCTGCAGTTTGATTAGCTACATGCATTAATGCTGCTACCTAGCTACCTTAGAGCTCAGGTATAGGCAGTGGGTATAGCTTTTGGGGAAATCAGACATATATCACTTCTTCCCCTTTTGTTCTGTGAGAAATAATTTAAAAAGAAGCACTGAGCAAATGAAATCTTGGATTGGATTGACCCCAAAACCAAAGAAAGACAGCCATCAAAACATCCATCACCTGATTTCCATCTATATATATAGCATACAGCACTAAATTCATACATTCATTCATTCTTCTCTCAATCTCATCTTCACCTTATTCTAAGATCACTCTGAATTTAATTTGCCTCTTTCTTTCCTCATCATCACAACATAAAAAGCATGATTTCCAGGTTTTACATCCTCCTCTGTATTCTCCTCACATTAGCTTTGCCTCATGCAGAAACCAGGCCTTTTGCTCCCACCAATTCTTCACTATTTCAGGTATGTTAATGTAAATTTGATTTGTTACTTAACCCAAAAAAATTACCATATGATTCTCAGAATCATCTGTTTTTCACCCCCAACATTTTGACATTTTAAATTGTTTGCTAATTATAAATGGAAGGGTGAGAAGAAAGAAGAAGGGGGGAGGAGAATAGGATCATTTGCACCAAGGTGTGATCACAAATGCTATGGATGCATGCCTTGCGAAGCCATCCAAGTGCCAACCACCAACGGCGGCGGCGGCGGCGGCGGGGCGGCGGGTGTTCAGCAGTACACAAACTATGAACCTGAAGGCTGGAAATGCAAGTGTGGGCCCGCCCTTTACAGCCCCTAGTTCAACTTCTACACCAATACATATGCTTTACTACGTATTGAAGAGGCCGGCCATTATATATCTTGCATGAATGGGTGGGCGGAGTAGTAGATTTTTGTTCTCAAATATATACTACGTATAATGAGATGATATTTGCTGTGTAGAAATCATTTGGCCAATTAAGACAGATGAAACTAATAGACTATTCCATTCTATTTTGTCTCTGTTTTTGGACTTTTGGGAAGCCACTTGGAGCTTTAATTTGGTGATGCATACAAGGAAAATTAAAGTACATGCATGATGCATGCATATACATGATAGTCCTTTGAAAGTTTTTTCTTAGCTTCATCACAATATGTGTATATAGCCCCTGGATCGAATCATCGAATTGGTAACCGAAAAGGCAAACAAAGTGAGTATATATATATTAGTAGTCTAGGAAACTGGAAACATAATACAATCAGATCAGAAAACTATAAATATACAACCAATTTCATAATGTAAGACAAGATAGTATAAAATAAAAGTACATTTTAACAAACAATATTACAATAACAACACCACTGATTACATATATGTGTATGGTCATTTTTTGTCCTGTCATCACTGTTTCTACACACAACACAACAAGATGTTGAGACCTCCTCCCTCACACGGAACACATTAAAACAGTAAACAAAAAAGTTCACACTTCAATTTAATACTTTTGAAGATCCTTCCCTATATTTTTCTTCATCAATCACCATCATCACAGTCATCTCACAACCTGCTGCATTGGAGGAGGAGGATAGAGATCCTTGCAGGAGTTCTTCATCACATTATCTGCACCAGCACTTCTCATTGTCAACGACCCATGGCGGCGAAGAGGGCTTGATTTACCCCGATAGGATTGAAAATCCCGTAATGAATGCCTCTGCATGCTGCTGCTGTTATCATCACCATATTGAGATGAAGAGGAATTATATGTTTTTCTCTGCTGCAGCTTATTATGTTTTGCCTTAATGGACTCGGTCAGTGTCATGTAGTTTGGTGTGTTGTTACGTGGCAGCGCCTCTTCTTCGGGCGATGAAGACATTGGCGAATGACTTGTGCTGTCATTGTTATACAACTGATGCCAGGATGACGATGACGATGAACACAGCTGATCGGATGATGGGGTTGCTTCTTTTGCTGCTGAAATCCTGGTAGACATGTTGTTTCTCCTGATTTTGACAGAAGAGCTGTTAGGGTGTTGTTCAAGATTGGGTCCTCCTCCCACTCCTCCAGGGGTGGTTGTCATCACCCCACCAGATGATGAGTCGGTGTCTCCTCCCACTGACTTACTAAACTCCCAGGGCTTAGTTGCGACCCAACGATCAAGCCAGCTATTGTCTCCTTCCTTCTCCCCTGCTGTCTTTATCCTTGTTGAATTCACCAGCTTCTTTCTTGTTTGCTGCAAATTAGAATATTTCAATTTTATCATCATGTTTTTGCTTACATTGATTCCTGCTAGGCTGCTACTGTGCTCTTAGATCTTTTTCAAAGGCCTTTAACTTTCTTTATATTAGATTTTGTATACTTTAAAACTCCATATCAATGATTTATGCTTTCAACTTCTAGTCAGGTTGCTTACTAGTGCTGTTTAAAAGTATTCATTTGGAAGCAGTTATTTACTAAGTTGTTGAGATAAGTGAAGAAAAACAGTATACCAGTTTAGAATTAGCATAAGCAATGGCTCTCTCCCTCTTCATGGCACCTTCTTGCTTCTTCATCAATCTGCACCTTTCCTCTTCTACTGTTCCTGGGCTATTACTCCATCCATTCTGCAAATTTCAGATGTTAGGAGGGGAAATCATAATTTTTAGAAGATCGATAGCCGATAGGTATCACAAATAGTAATGATACGGACTTCAAAAGAAGTGACTGATCGTTGTACCTCAGGAGCTAGTTTGATGAGATCATCATCATTTGCCTGAGAAGAAGATTGAGCTCTAACTCGTGCTTGAACTCGAACCAGAGCCTGCATGCACCTTAATGTCACAGCAGCCTGCTTTCTCACCTGTCGACCGCGAAATATAGCCTGTATCCTCACCACTCCTCTCAGCGCCCTCAGTGCCCGTTTCGCCTTCACATCAGTAAAAATTCTTATCATGTTTAGTATTAGAGCAAATGACCTGATCCGGAGCTTACGGTTCTTAATGATGAGCATTTAACGAATTCGGCAGAAAGTTGTGAATGAATAAAGAGAAATTACCAGAAATCCGCGAAATGCAGTCTGGATCCGAATAGCAGCCCATTCCTGCTTCATCAAGACGAATTCCTTGTGCGGAGCCCTAACCACAGTCGCCATGGCGGCGGCCAAAGCGCTATCGGACACGAACGAAGAAATGGATCCTTCCGAATCTTCATGATACTTCTCTGATTTTCCAGGCCTAGGCCCGCCGGATCCACTCCTCCATAGCTTCCAGACCCTGCATGTCCCTCCCTCCTTCGCCTACACAGTCCAACACACTCGTAAACAAAAGCAAAAATATAAATTCAGGATGAGTGCGAAAACGATGAACTGCAGAGGAGGAACTTACTGCGGTATGTTTGGAGTGAGATTTCTTGAGAGTGATAAGTGATTTGATCCAATTTCCAGAAGCGCCCATGCTTTATCCAAACTCAGATAATCTGTTTAAACAAACAAACAGAACCGATTCTCCTTCCTTTTTTTCTTCTACAAATATAGAAAATTATTGAAGTTGGAGATTGAGGACGAGGGTTGAGCTTGAAATACTGCTAAGCCGCGTTTGGGGTCAAATGTGTGTTTGAATTTCGAAATTTGAAAAACCTGAAAAGGCAGCAACGGCTAGTATCCGGTCCTACTGGCGTGGTGTTTTGTCTCTGCTGTTTCCTTTCTCTTTACCTTTTCTCTCTTTTTTTCGAGTGCCTATACCGTACGACCGGTATACGGTGAACACCGTATACCGGGTACCGATTTATATTTTTTTTTTCCTTTTGTTTTTTAAAAATGGTAATAACTTTTTTATTTTTGATTCGATTTTTATAAAATTTATATCAACATTTTTTATTTTTCATGATCTTTCAAATGAGACCAATATTGCCTATGTAATTTTAACATATTAACATTTGCGTGTAAAATATGTAACTTTACGTGTTAAAATATGTAACTCACGTTCAGTCAGGCCAAATGCAACTCGTGTGTATAAATATGTATCTCTACGTGTAACAATATGTAACTTCACGTAAAAAAAATATGTAACTTGCGTTCAGGTCAAATGCAACTCGTGTGTATAAATATGTAACTCGCGTGTATAAATATGTAACTTTACGTGTAAAAATATGTAACTTTACGTGTAAATATATGTAAGTCGCGTTCAGGCATGTCAAATGCAACTCGTGTTTATATATATGTAACTCGCTTTTAAAAAGATGTAACTTGTTTATAAAAAGATGTAACTTGCTTATAAAAAGATGTAACTTGCTTATAAAAAGATGTAACTCGCTCATAAAAAGATGTAACTCATTGTATTATCAAATGTAACTGAGGTCACTGATCCACTCCCAAACAGATTCGATCTTCTATTTCACAAACCTATCATCTCCCAAACAGATTCGATTTTCCTTATAATCCAATACTCATTAATATAATAGTTCGATAATTTCTTAAAATTACATTAGCAATATTGGTCTCATTTGAAAGATCATGAAAAATAAAAAATGTTGATATAAATTTTATAAAAATCGGATCAAAAATAAAAAAGTTATTATCATTTTTAACAACAAAAGCAAAAAAAAAAGGGAAGGGAGAGGGCAAGCTGCGTCGTTTTGCAACCGGACGCACCATCCTCATGGTGCGCCGGTTGCACGGTATAATTCGCCCAACTATTTTGTGGATCACGAGAATGGATGACCCAATACATTTTCCGCTCAAATTTTGTCTCTCCATCAAATAATTTGGAGCCCTCATTTTTTGATACTAAGGATGTTTTTACTTGGACTGTAATTTACTGGTCTGGTCTGGTCTGATCTGGTCTGGTCTGAACTGGTCTGGTCTGGTCTGATCTGATCTGGTCTGGTTGGTCTGGGACAATCCAAGTAAAAACATCCTAAATCAACAGGATGTTAGAAAAGTGGTGGCCAAGATTGACAATGAATTTTAGGTTGTCTTGAAAATTATCTTTGTGTCTTACATTGTTATTGTTTAAGATGTTTTTACTTGGACGATAATTTGCTGGTCTGGTCTAGTCTAGTTTGATCTGGTTGGGTCTGGTAATGTCTGATCCCTTTGTATTTTTATAACCATCCAAGTCTGGTCTGGTCTGGGACGGATTACAGTCCAAGTAAAAACATCCTTAAGTCTACTCTAATCTTAGGAAATTCAAGACTTATTTTCAAAAGATTTTAGGATGGACTAACATCAATCGATTTATATTATCCTAGTCACAAGTGAAAGAAAAATATAGAAACTAAAAAGAGAAGATGAAATAAAAAAGGATGACATAAGAAAGATAAAGGATAAAAATAATTTAATAATGTAACAAGATAAAAAAGATGAACAAATGAGAGAGAAGATCAATTTCATTTGATCTCCCCAAAATCATACTCTCATCCGGTTAAAGAAAAAGTATATCAATTCCGATTTCTCGAATCCACGTCTGTTTGGATCTTCTTCTCCCTCACTGCTCCGTCTTCTCTCCCCACCTCTCGACTCCTCAACGAGTGCAATATGCAAACTTTTGTGCACATGAACAAATCATCGCAATCGAGATTCTTGCATCTTATCTTTTGTGGGTGTTACTCTCACATTTTGTCTTATTATCTTATTCCTAAAACAATCTTTCTGGTATGTCCAAACATCCAACAGAACATACACATCTCTACCACACTCATCGACATAATTTTACCGTTCAACGTGCTACGTCATACATTAACGTAAGCCTAATTTATTGTCATATAAAAATTACCTACAATTACCTTATAAACTACGTTCATTTACATTTTATTATTAAAATATATTATTGTATTTCATTATTTAGAATATAGTTCGTTAAGGAAAATATAATGAAAAAATAGACATGAATAATCTCAACTATTAGTTATCTGCTTGAAATAATCCAAAATTCCAAAGTATCAATCATCTCAAAATAATCTCAACTATTGAAAATAATCTCAAAATACTCTAGGGACAATTAATAATACCTAAATGACTTACTCCGTATAATATTTTATTGTACTTGACGTATTTTGAGATTTTTTTCAATAGTTGAGATTATTTTGAGACTATTGATACATTAAATTATTTCAACCAGATCACTAATTGTTGAGATTATTCTTGATCATTTTTTCAAATATAATTAGCTCTTAAGGAATTACATGCATTAAATTTTTGTTGTAGATTTGTAATCCTTTCTACAAACTCCAAGGCACCAAATATATTTACGTATTTCACTGGGTTACTTATAAAATACAATTACTACTACAAAAATTTAATACATTATGTGGCTATGTGCTATACATCTAATATGATAGAATCTATTGTGAGGTGCATGAACACAAAAGTGCATATTTTTACACCTTACTATCTTATGTCCTCATTTAATGGTCCAATATTTACCCATGACAGTTAACCAATGCAATATTAGTTAGTAGTTACCTAAATAGAGGGGACCGGTTTTAGTATATTTAGTTCTAGCTTGACCTCCTTTTAGCTTGAGCCTGACTTTTTATGTATGTCGGCCTCTTAAGGTAATAATGCATCAGAATTAGGCTAAGCTTGACCTATTTAGACAAGTGATTTTTTCTAAAAACTCAAACCTACTTTGTTCAATGATACTTTTTTTTTTAATTCCACACAAGTGAATACAATATGGAATTATATGTTTTATTATTATAATTGAATTTCTCATAAGAATTTACATGCACATACATAAATGTCAACGCTATAACTTTTATCAAATATAATTATTGACTTTCAATTAAGTTTAGACCAAGTATATTAGTTATTTTTCTTAACCCACCCCCGTCATATAGGTCATTCAATTCCGTTATCATATTATCTCAAATTGATTAGTACTATCTCTAACCCCATATTAGATGTCTTGTTTTAATATGAGACTAGTGTTAATAAAGTGATTTAAAAGTAAAAATTGTGATTTTGATTTGAATAGAATAAAGTAAAAAAGAAAATAGGACATTCATTTTGAAATAATCTAAAAAAGAAAGTAAGGAAACAATACATTTCATTTCACATCTCTTATAAAAAAGGAAGCAAGACATTCATTTCAACTTATCTTGTATTGATATCAGTTTTCAATTTTATTTTTTAGATTAAAGTTGTGTTAATACTCCCTACTAATCGTGATCATTCTAAAAATCCCATAAAAACGTGAAAAACCACTATTTTTAGTATAAACGATGTAGTATTTTGTTTATCTAGTGTTCTTGGAGTTTTCCACTTTTAGTCTTCCAACTATTGTGTGAAAGACACTTATGATACTATCTTTGAAAATTTTCAATATTTAGTGCTTCAACTTTCATAAGAGTAGGCATGGTCCGGGCCTGGGCCGGGCTCCGAGTCGGTTCAAGTCGGGCTTCTTTTCAAGATGTTGGGCCCAACACCGGGCCGGGCCAGTCCAAGCCGGTCCAATGAATAATTTTTTTGCTTTCTAATTAATCCTCGTCCCCTCCCCCTCACCCCCACCCCTCAAACCTCCCAGCCCTACCCAAGGAAAAGGAAAAAAAATTGAAAAAAAAAGAACCGGACCCAGCCCGAACCGCCCGGGCCGGTTCAAGAAAAATAGGGCTCGAGCCCAGCCCGCCAGGCCCGTCCACACTGGGCTAAAGTCCGGAACCGGCCATCCAGTCCCGGTCCAATCCGAGCCCACACAGTAGCGGGCCGGTCCAGTTCACGGGCCGGTTCGGTCCATCCCTACATAAGAGTGTCACTTTAGCACCTCTAATTATTATAATGACATATTTAACTCTCCACTTATTGTGTCAAAATCAAAGTGGAAGAACTAAAAATATCAATTTGATAATAATACACAGTAAACTAAATGTTGGAAATTTTAAAGCCGAAGACTAATATCTCTCACACTATTTGAAGATTAAAAATGGAAAAATTGAAGGTCGAATATCAAAAATGTCAATGACACAATAATCGAAGGACCGAAAATGGCAAAAACTCAATAGCTGTAAAAGGAGAAACGAACATAGATTTCTTCATGACAAAACTTTGCTTCTCGGATATGCAAACTTTGTACATAGCTCAATAGCTGTAAAAGGAGAAACGAACATAGATTTCTTCATGACTTGAAAATAGGGGTGGACTCGGGCCGGGCCAACCGGCCCGGAACCGGTGAACCGGTTGGTGCCCGGTTCAGGCCACCCGGCCCTGTGAGGTAGGCGGGCCGGGCCCGCTAAATAGTGAACCGGCCCGGCCAGTTCGGACCCGGTCCGGGCCTATTTTTTTTTTTTTTTATTTTTTTTAAGTTTTTGGGTTGGGCTAGGTATGATGGGCCATTTGAGGTGGTTTGAGGGTGAGGGGGGAGGGTTGAGGGTTAATTAGGAAAAGCCCAAAAAAAAAATTGAACCGAGGCCCGACCCGGACCGGACCCGGGGTTACTCGAGCCGGTTCCGGGCCTCCCCTTTCATGAACCGAGGCCCGGCCGGGCCAGGCCCAAACCGGGCCCGAACCGGTCCATCCCTACTTGAAAAGCATGCGGGTACCATACACAAACTTAAACAACCACAAGTGACTAGGTGATTTGAAATAGAGATCTCTGCTTTTCCAGTAGGCATGGACCGGTTCCGATTCGGGTCTCGGTTCAAGAATGGGAGGCCCGGAACCGGCCCGGGTAACCCCCGAGTCCGAGCCGGGCCTCAGGTCAATTTTTTTTTGGCTTTTCCTAGTTAACCCCCAACCCTCCCCCTCACCCCCAAACCAACCCTAACCACCTCAAATGGCCCAAAATACCCAGCCCAACCCGAAAACTTAAAAAAAATTCAAAAAAAAAATGGCCCGACCCGGGCCCGAACCGGCCGGGCCGGTTCACCTTTTGAAGGGCCCGAGCCCGAACCGCCATCCCACCGGGCCGGTTGGCCCGAACCGGGCCCGGAACCGGTTCACCGGGCCGGGCCGGGCCCGCACAGTAGTGGTCCGGTCCGGTTCCAGGCCGGTTGGCCCGGCCCGAGTCCACCCCTATTTTCCAGACGAATAAATGGAATAATGAAAAGTTGAAAACTAAACATGCTTAACTTTACAGCCCGACTCCCCGAGTAACATTTTTAACAGAACATGAAATATACGTTCAGAAGTTAATCTCAAACTGCTAATAAAATTTGCTTTTGTCGAGATTGTACGAAATGATTTATTCATTCAAAACATGAAAGAAAAAATGGTGAATTCAGGAAAACTATTTTTTTAAAAGAACTCAAATTCTGAAAATTAAAATGCTACATCAAGAGAAAATATAATGAACGTGCCAGCATGCTCAATACAGAATACAACATGATGAATGGTCAAGATCCATTCATTTAGATTTTTAGAAAATATTGGCCATTTATCACGTAAGGCTTGGATGTTGTTGTTGTATTGGCCATTTATCACGTCAATGTGCTTCATACTGAGCATAATGACATGCTTCATATATTTTCTCCTATTAGTACTTTTCAATTCAAAAAATGTACATACTCTATGACTGAAGACTGTGAGTAATATAAACCCTCTGACAAGGATTGCTGATTAAACTAAACAACCCCACCCCCCATACAGGAGAAAACCTAGGAGAATAACAAACCTATAAAACAATACTTTTATAGGTGCTCCAGAATACAAGTAAGGCAGTTTTTAAATCAAGGGAAGGGTTGCATTAGCTTAGCCAAAGAAATAAGAAGACATGGGGCTGGCGGGGGAGGGGGGTTAGCGATACATGGGCGGTTGTTTAATCAAATGTTACAAGCAGACACACACTTTGTACACTTATACTTTAATAAATAGATAAATAATAAGGTAGCTGCTTATATCGAGATTAAAAAGCAGTTTCATAGCTTTTCTGGTAAGGCAGCTGAGATCCATTCTGAAGCAGCTGATTGTATTTCCTGCTCTTGCGTTGACATAGATATAGGAGTGACTGCAACCTGGCGATTGATACATTGACTAGTTGAGAATCTCTAGGTTATTTTATAAGTTGTTCTATATTTGCAGCGCCTTAGATCTTACTTATTTTACATTCACAGGAGAATTTTATAGTAGTAAAATGCATTAATGTTGTGATGATAAAAAAAGTGTTACAGGGGGGGGGGGGATTACAAACACTTACAAAGCCGTTTTCAAGTGCTAGGAAATCTAAATCCTCATCCTCTTCTTCGTGCTTCTTCTCAAGTAACTGCAGGTTAAGAAATAATCATTTCAAGTCAATCCCATAACAAAACCGTCAAAGCCAATGTGAAGCATAGGATGTCTATTTGGACAATATCCCGAATTTGTGCTTAGCATAAAAAGAAAAGTTGCAGTTCAATAGCATATTAGACATACAAAGCAAACAAAGGAGTGTACATCATTTCATGACACTTCCCTATCTGCAGTAGAATTTAATCAGCAACTCTTGCTAGCTCCCCACGAAAACCCACCCAATAGAAAATTAAGAACGTCTTTTTTCTTCCCATACAGAGGATGGGGAATAAAGTCTACTACGTATAATAGACAATTTTTTAGACTACCTCTTATAATTAAGTTTTATGATAATAGTATTTTTTAAGGAGGCATTACTAATTTGCGAAGAGCCATTGTAACATAAAAGTTGCATACATTATGCAACTAAATGAAGTTTACCTCCAATCTGAAGTATTTGACGGTTCGATTGGGATCAGACTTTCCAGCAACACCAACTGACTCAACAACCTCTATATTCTTCCTTTGTGTGGTAAAACGGCGTGCAGCACCCTGAATTGTTTGAGAAAAGAAAACATTTTAATTGCTAAAAACGATGCCCCAGAGGACATAGTTTGGCATGTATTCAAGATGATGGCCTTCTATCTCCCCTCACTACCATTGTATACTCTTTTACTGTTTATTTAATAGACCATAGAGCCGCTAATTAAAAAATCTACATACAGCAGCAGATGCATCACGACCAAGCTGTGCAAGTTGAAAGCCAAGACTTTGCTGGTTTGAAAGAAACCGTGATGCGGCAACATTCCTGTTAGCTGGAACAGCGTTCCAGTTAAGTGTGGATCTCCATACACTCTGCTTGGTTAACTTGAATCCCTGTAAAAAAAAGTATTATGAAAGAATAGATATGAAGGAAACTAACAAGTTCTCGTGCTGAATTTACTGATGGTCCACTTTCAATGTAATGTCTTCTAACTACAAAATAATAGTACGGTGGTATTTTACTTGTTAATTGTTCAAATTTAACCATTTTAATCATATAGCAGATTAGCAGTTGATTCATAACCAAGTGAGAAAGACTGCAAATTACCCATCCACAGGCTAATGAAGTACGAGAATCAAAGGAGTTTAAAGTAACTCAATTATGCACAAATTGGCTGAGCAACAAGCACTGCCAGTTATGTGTTCCTTGTGAATTTCCATTTGGCAATAAAACATCTAAGCAGCTTAATGAAACCAGCTCGAGAAAATTGTTTCCAGTTTTATAGCCTTTCTTTCTTTTAACTGTTAGGAAGTGAGAAAGCAAACCTTGTTTGTAAGCGGATCAGTTGGAACTTCCAAATTAAGCAAGCAGCCTTTTGGAAAAGCACCATTCTCTATATCCCTAATAGCTGCGGTGATCAAAGGCAAACAAACACTTGCAGCGCATTCGAAATCACTGTCCTGGCTTGCATTGCTCTTCCTAAAAGAGTATAATCAAACACCCTAGTATATGACAAAGAATCATTATTCATAGTGGAACACCAACAAATGGACACATCTACACAAACATACCAGTTAAGAGATATTGATATGGAAGGAACACCATTAAACAATGCCTCCCTAGCCCCTGCTACAACACCCGAGTAAAACCTAGAGATGGCAAAGTAATATGCATACTTAAACATGAGATGTAAATGATATGCTTGTACCCCAAAGAATACTTGGGGAAGGAAATAAAATTTAAGAATAATTATGTTCTTGTGTTTGATTTTTTTTTTCAGAAAAGGTAAATGAAAATGATGCTTTTATTACAATTAGATTTGATTTGCATTTACAAGATAGAAATAAATTAAATATATAAAAGTGAATTTCAACCAATATAAAAATAAATTAACTTCGAAAAAATGTTATATATTTCTGAACATTTACTTTAATTCCAATTTCACTGATAATTTCGTCTTCTTTCCCTTCATTGGAAACAGGAATATAAAACACATCCTCCCCCTGCCACGTATTTCTGTCCAGCCACTCCAGCGCTATATTTAGGGAATGGTCAAGAAATATTCAAATCAAACAGAATAAAACTTACATGTGATGGCCACAGCTTGAGCCCCGGTTGATTCCGCTAATTACCTGAATATGGGGATGGGGGGTGGGGTAGCAGGAGAAGATGCGACAACCAATCTGAGAACTAGCAGAGGAGGATAGTAGGATCCCCAATTAAAATTCTCTCTTTCATGCAGTAATAAAAAAGAATACCATACCAATAGAGGCTTTGGCCATGAAAATAGTGCACCAGATAATGCCAAAGAGACACAGTCCACAGGGGTCCCTGTAGCAGACTTGGAATCAGAAATTTGTATTGCTAGAGCAATAAAAAGAAGTTCATTGGTCTATCATAAAACAAAATAGGTGTCATCATTACCAGAAACTTCATAAGCAGTTGCACCATGGATATCAGCCGAAGTTACTGCAACAGTATCTCTCAGTGTAACAGAATGGCCAGCAACAGATTTATCTCTACCAAACCATCAAAACAAAAACATAATCATAAAAGGATACAACTGGAAAGCAGCTGAGCGAGAAAAATCTCACAGCTCAGATATGATATCCAAAATAAATCAATCAGGCCGAACAAGTTACTAGGCTAAGGGCTAACAAATTTTTAAACGTGTCTATTCATGGAATAAAATGCCATAAGATCAGAAATCAATACAAGCCAACAGCTGATTAATTTATACCGACCCAGGAGAAGCTCATCTTACACAAAACCTAAAATGAACGGACATTAAAAGTTTGAGATTTTTATTTAATGATCGTTAGAATATGTCTAAATCTCAAGTTACCAGTGACATTACTCTTGATATATAAATATATAAGTACAGTATATATTAATATACAGGTAATGCTTTACAGAAGACCCACGATTCGGGAGCTAGGACGACGACATTGTAAAGGCCTAGCTGAACCAGAGCATCCACGAGAGAGGTGAGGCCAGGTGACTCAATCCCATCGGCATTGGTCACCAAAACGATAGGCTTCGAGCCGTCGAGGTCTCCGGCTGCATCGGCGGAATTGGACGTCGAGGATGAGAGCTCCGACGATTCCACCTCGCCGGGCACATGTTGCCGATCCGCCTCCTTGCCTTCTTCGGCGGTGGAGGCGTCACCGACCTTACGTCTGAGAAGCACCTGTTCGAGATTAGAGACTAATGCGGAAGGCAGTAAGCTTTTCTTCATAGCAGAGGTAGTCATTTCTTCAAATGCGGATGTAGGACTAGTGATGGAGAAGAACTCAAAACCCTAATTAAGAGATAAAGACGGAGCAAAAGCAGGAAAATAAAGCGCTGAACAATGGAAGATGGCCGGTTCAAACGGCGTTTAAGAGAGGTAAAGCTTTTATGGATTTAGAGAGAGAGATAGAAGCGTGGAAGAGGATGCCAGGAATGCGCGTGGTGTTGACCTGGTGGGTGGGGGTGGGGTGGGGGTGGGGGTGGGGTGGGAGTAAGCTTTTTCAATGGCGGAAACTGGTTGAAGAAGGGAGATGACAGCAAATCGCAAAGAAGTGCGTGATCTATCCTCCCAACATTTCTTCGCCAATCTACAAAAAGAAAAAGCTGGATTAGCCAAAAACTCAAAAAGTGCTCCCATCTCTCATTAAAGTCACAATTTAACCTTTTCAGTCTTTTAACCTTGATCGTATTTATCAATAAAAATATACGTATAAAATCTATAATAAATTGACATTTGAATAACACATATTGCAATGAAGCACATTAAATAATTTTTTTGGGATAAATATTACGTAGTATTAATTTTGAATAATAAACGGTCAAAGTTTAACAAATTTAGCTTGTATCTTAGGCTATTAACATTTGGGGAGTGAATGTGTTGAATATCCAAATTTCTGTTGCATCCCTTTCCTCGCGTCTTCAACTTCTCCATGAAAAATGATGTGATTATTCAGATAATAATTAAATAGAACTATTCAAATATATTTTGAAAAATAGTTTTATAGATCTATAATATAATGAGATCATCATTATTATTGTAGGTGTATTTTAAATATTTGATGATCAAGTTATCGTTTAAGAGTGCTAATTATTTTCTAAAATAGAAGTAATAATTATTTAACAGAAAGATCCGAAAGAAGTGAGAAATCAAGTTGGGAAAGACAAAGTATCTCATTTTTGGAAGAGGTAATAAATGGATTCTTGAAAGGTGAGGAATGGAAAAATAAGCATACCTAATTAATAAGTGAAGGTATCATTGATTTGACTCTCCTTCGAAAAAGCCGAGAGCCCGGGCCTGCATAGGGTTCAACTCCTCTCCATTTTTTTCTCTCCATTTTTCCTCCATTTCTTTTTTACTTCCTATCTATCTTTACTTTTTTTTCTATCTTACTCACCGACCTACCCCACCTTAAATTTTCTCCTCTCTATATCTTTCCTAATGGAACTCTCCAGTCAAAGGAATTTGGATCCTCTCCAGTGACCGGAGAGTTCCATTAGGAAAGATATAGAGAGGAGAAAATTTAAGGTGGGGTAGGTTAGTGAGTAAGATAGAGAAAAACGTAGAGATAGATAGAAAGTAAAAAAGAAATGAAGAAAAAATGGAGAGAGAAAAATGGAGAGGAGCTGAACCGCACCTAAAGATGCAACCCCCACTATTAACTACCTCAATTGTTTTTACTAAACATTTACTCCCTCCGTTTCTGAAACAAGTTCCACCTTTCCTTTTCGGGAAGATTCAAAATTAAGTTCCACTTTCAAACATTTCCTTATTTGGCAAATTATCTACATCAAAACAGTGTCAAACAGTGTTCAAACAGTGCCAAACAGTGTTCAAACAGTGTTCAAACAGTGCCAAACAGTGCACTCCACAGTAAAATCAAGTTTATTTTCTTAACATGTGTGAAGTCAAATGTGGAACTTGTTTCAGAAACGGAGGGAGTATATCTTTTATCTAAAATTTAAACTAACTTTCATTAAAAATATATTCGAATTTTCACAACTCCATGTAATTGCTTTTGCCTTTAAAAATCGTCTTAGTTTAATTTACTTGTCATTAGTTATAAATATAAATGCGTTCTTTTCACCTTTGTTTTCCAAAACATTATTAAGTGTGACATTTTTTTTTACTATATGGACATTGTTTTATGAAAATGATATAACTCACCTCTAAAAATATTATGTCATGGAAGGCAATGCATATATAATGTATGTGTGACTTTAGCAAGTTTGACATTGTTTTAATATTTTAACTTTTTTTTGAAGATTGTCATTGTTTAAACACGGTAACATTTTTAATAAAATGTGACATTTTATACATAGTACTTTTTACTGTCACCTGTAAAAATCTTATTTCCTAGAACGACATTTATATTTAAATTTCACATTCTACAGATAGTGTGACATTTTTAGTTGATTTGCTATCACTCTCAAACCAGACCGGCCATATTTAAATACAATAGAACAAATATAAATAATTTAAAGGGTTTTAATTAAATATGTTTTTAGTCTTTAGAAATGTAAATTTTGTTTTAATCCAATCCAAATATAATTTAATCTCAATATCAAAAATATCACTTTTATACATTCATGAATTCTATACATGAAGTAAAAGTATATTTTATCACAATATTTTCATAGTTAATTCCATTATCATACCATCACTTTCATATCACATAATCATACACAATTTCCTCCAAATTTGTATATCATGCTTCATTTACTCATAACAATAGTATTTTCATTTAGGCATTATTAATCATTAATAATCCATGAAAATCACATTTAACTACCTTAGGTAATCTTATGAAATTAACTCACTAATTATAAACAATATAGTCAACCATCTTCACCTTGAATGGGCTTTAAGAAGTTCTACCCTTCTTGGTTGAACTCCGGTGAAACTCCGGCGAACTTCGGCGATACTCTGACGAAACTCCGGCGACAACTAGGAACCCCTTAGTCAAGCTCATTAATCCTTCACACTTTTCCTAACATTTCCTTCTTTAATCTTCTTCCTTGGACTAACCTTGCTCGAGCTATGTTCTTGGCTATGGAGGAAGTATTTTACAGAGATTTTCTTCCTCTGTTGTTGAGCCTTGGCCGAAATGATGAGGGTGGATGTGATTGAGAATGCCTTTTTGGCATTTCTCTCAATAATACATAAAGGAGGTCCTACCTCATTAAATGCCTTGCCTCTCCATTCATTTGTTTTCTTGCATCTAGTGATTTGTGCGGCTCATCTTTGCTAATGCAAGACTAAAAACGTGGGTTGGCCCCCACCCATGTGAGAGGTCATCCCAATATGTCTCAAAGTGTATACTTGGTCCTGAAAGTTGTATTTTCTAGACAGTTTTGATTATATTTTATTTTATCAAGTCAACATAGCACTTGGATCGCCCAAACATTTTTACCAACTTGGTTGGCCCAGATAGGAACGACCCATTAATCCCTGAGGATCACTGGACGGACGTCCCTAAAAGCCCCAACTAGAGATGCTTTCCCCCTACTTCAGGAGACGTACATCCCCAACAGGCCAGCAAGGCCCAGTTGCAAGACGTACATACGTACCTTGGCCTTGGGAGCAGGCGGGACACAGGAGACCAAGATTATGAGGACGTTCGTCCCCACAACTGGGAAAATTCAAATTCATACTGAAATTTTAAATTCAAGTACGCTCGGGTGCGGTGCCACATTTTCTCCTTAGTTGTCGATATGGATTTTGCTCTTCTGTTTATGGTGAAAGTTGATGGTATTTGGGACAATGACGCAACTTCAATTGCAGTGCCGCCTTTGCTATGCAAATTCGTTTCTCTGCTAACTACATTGCTTTCATGGAACAATTATTTTCCATATTTTGTCCTTACAAATCGAATAACCACTTCAAACTATCTTATATGGTTGATGGTTGTCCTCCACCTGTTTCTATCCATGATGAGGAAACATTTCGTTTTTACCTTTATCTTAAGTCTCTTCAAATTGATTTTCAAAAATCTCCCTTGTGTGTGGAATTCTCAGTTGATCAACCTGTTGCATCTGATCCAAAAATTCTGTTGCACAAACTGTTGTAGCTGAAATTCCATTACTGTAAATAGGCTGTGAGGGCTGTAAGACTACGTGTTATCCAAATGTTTTAGATACGAAGGTATTTCTCCATTACTGTATATTTTTAATAACCATTCTGTCTTGGTCTTTTATTCCATTATGTTGGCATATTTTCCACATTCTATTCATATTCACATTTTTAATACTTTGTTTTCTGCAGATTTACATCATCACATACATGCTCTATTGATTTTCGTCAAGGCAAACATCACCAAACAACCTAGCGCATTGTTGGAGAGCTTGTATCGCATAAATTTTTGGATGCGTAGAGAAAGCCTATTAAGCCAAATGAAATAAGGGAAGACATGCTCCTGAATCATTGTATTTCCATTTCTTACACGCACGCATGGAAAGCTCAGAACATAGCTATGAAGAAACAATTTGGATCAAATTCTGACTCATACCAAATGCTACCGTCTTTGGCGTATGCTCTTGAAAAGGCAAATCCGGATTCTCTAATTTCTCGTATAACTTTAGAAGATGATACCTTCAGTTATTTTTTCATGTCCCTCTTACCTTGGAGGGAGGCGTGGAAATATTGCAGACCAGTTCTAATTGCAGACGGGTCAATTTTGAAGGCGTACTACAAGGGTACCCTTCTCACAACTTGTGCTCAAGATGCAAATGGCCAAGTTGTCCCACTAGCATTTGGTATATGTGATTCGGAATCTAAAGAGTCTTGGCTATGGTTTTTTTCTAAAGTTCGTGAAGCATTGTTGTCCCGCGAGGACATGTACATTGTATCAGATAGACATAAGGGCTTGTTTAGTGCAATTTTTCCACACACTGGTCATGGATATTGTGTTGAGCATTTGCGTCATTACATGTGATAGAGTATTAACTCCTAGATTCTAGAGAGAAGGGAGAGCTAGAGAGAGAAGTGAATTGTATTAATGAATTTTTTCCACCCTTACAACTACTCCCAAGGGGAGTATTTATAGAGAAAATACGGGCTGGGCTCCCAAGTCTTGGGCTTGGGAGGCCCATCTACAACCGGACCGCTATTGGGCCGAATACAAAGCCACTGGTGGGCTATACAAATGAATAAGTGTAAAATCCGGTTCTGTGAGACTTCCGTGGCCGGCGAGGGCATGGCCGACGAGGGCATGGCCGATGAGGGCATGGCCGATGAGGGCATGGCCGATGAGGGCATGGCCGACGAGGTCACCCAGTTCTCCGGGCTTCTGGATCATATTCTGAGTAGACCTTTTCATGGCCGATGAGGGCATGGCCGATGAGGGCATGGCCGACGAGGTCACCCAATTCTCCGGGCTTCTGGATCATATTCTGAGTAGACCTTTTCCTGGCCGATGAGGGCATGGCCGATGAGGTCACCCGGTGATCGTGGTACCTTCTGTTCTTCTGAGTATGTGGGTCCTGGGGCCTAGACCCATATACTCCATCAGGAGTCCCCCACTCTCTAAGCTGAGATGTAGACGAAGTGAAGGAGAGTAGACTTCTGTGCTTGATGCTCTTGGCCGATGCG